CCTACACGACGCTCTTCCGATCTCCCCAAAACCCCAAAACCCCATAAGTAAAAATATATCAATTATTGTGGAAAAGTGTTTAATAAGTTTAATAAAAATTGTGAAAATTGAAATTAACGTTAAGAAATGTGAAATTCTCTTGATGGTTTAGATATTAAGGGAAGTTGAGGATTTCCTTTAGTACCCTACACGAGTAATTCTTTCAGCAGTAGAAATATCAATCAACATCAAGATCTTTATGTAATAACAATTCCTCTATTGTTTAGTTAACGTTTTACTTATTTTTTCTCAAAAGGCTTATTATCTTATCATTTTTTCTATCATTGGCAGGCAAAATTGATCTTATAGTTTATAACTTGATTTTCTCTTCCTCTGACGGAGGATTGAAATTAGTGGAAACTGTTAGAATAAGTTATAGATGTTTATCACTGTCCATTTTTAATAAAGAATCAAATAACTGAAAATTGAATTTATAATTTCCAGCTTTATCAGGAGCTTGAATTTCTACCTCCAATGTTCCAACTTAGTTACTGAGAAATTCACTTGGTTTTATGGTGTATTATAAATAAACAGCTATTGGCTCTTGCTAAATGAGCTAAAGATGTTTGTGATTCCAATCAAATGTATTTTCATTTTTAAGCTCCCAATATATTTAAAAGTAATCCCCCTCTGTCACAGGTCTCACTAAAGTTCTTCCAATTTCTGTAAATAAAAGCTTTTACTCTTTTTTTTTGGATTAAGCTTTCGACTGTAACATTGGCTACTGAATTATCTAGCTTTAAGAGCCTTATTTATTATGCTTAGGTAGTTAATTCAATTGATGTTTGTCAATAGGTTAGTTATGGTTATTATTATTTTAGAACATTAGTTTAATCTTTTCTTAAATAATAATTTGAATATTTTCTTAAGCAAAGACATACAATTCATCTTTTATAATCCTCCTCAGTTGCTTCATTTGTTCTTATACTTGTTCAGATTCAAACTCCTATGTATCAATTAATTTGTTAGTTTATCTTTACTGAGATAAATCTGAGGGTTTGTCTTGAATAGTGTCAGAATTATGGCTCTTCTTTTTGTTAGATTCATTGATTGTATTATCTCCACAATATTTAATGTTATTAGATGATTGATTCAGTGATCTATTAAATATGTTATTATCCTCGACACTTCCAATACTTTTAGATTACCTGTGAGTAGAGAGCTTTTCATTTTTCTTGATGAGTATCTTTAGGATTCTGTTTTAGGGCAATTGGGAGTAAGCCTCTGCCAAGTCCATGTTATTGTCAATAGTGATATCGTCATTGTCTCTGTCATAGTAGTGAAGAATTAATTGAGACTTATTCAGATTTTTAAGTTCCTCATATCTCTTTTAAATATTTTGATATAGTTCCTCTATTGAATCTACTTTATCTATTCTTGAGATGTCGTCATTGTATTCTAGTTTTACGTATTATTAAGATTAGGATGACTGATTGGTTTGATTTTCCATTTTATGATTATATTAAATTGAATAAATTTGATGATTGTCAGATTTAACTATTGAGGGGTTTTGGGGTTTTGGGGTTTTGGGG